CCATTCAGAAAATCTCCTGGGACATGCCTCTGGCCCACGTGCATGAATCTATCATTAGGAATTATCTGTGAGAGGTGGTCGGCTTCAAGCCAGTTACTACATCTGATAAATCAATGAAGAATATCACTGTCCAAACCAGCTGTGTTTCTCGGATCATGGACAGAAGTGTTGGGAATTACTACATTCAAGACGGTGGAAACCACATGTTCTTTTATTCTGCAGACAAAAGAACTCCCTCCCCCACAATTCTTAACTTTTCACACCTGCCCGATGCCCAACAGAAGCTATTATAACAACAGACTGAGAATCATGAGGGACTAATGGGATAGTGTGTGGGGTCCCATGGGACGTGAGTGAGGGATGTTATCTTGTCTCAAGGGAGGCGAGACAGAAATGAACAACCCCTTGGGACTACGTAATAGGAATGTAGGTTCAATAATCTCATAATCAACTGACTGTTGTTTACTTTGGAGCAGTTTCAGCACGTACTTATTTGCACAACCTTAATTGGGTTCACTCTGCTCCTGAATATACAGTTTACAACACCCTGTTAAATCTCTTTTTCAACGTAGGCTAACAGTTAAAGGCTCTGCGTTGTGTAGAAGACGATGTTGACGTAACGGCTGGCAGTTGACTGGTTAACTCCAACGAAGACACACAGCTCCGATGTTGATTCACTGACTTTCTTTATTTGCCTACAAGCACTTGGGGATCTGGGCGATACAACCCCATCTCAAAACAGTTCAATTTAATGACTTTCTCTCTCAGATTAGATACATTAATATATTAATATTTACAGATCATCATTTAACACACACTCACCTGGGGGATACAAGCCCGGTCTGACTTGTTCCACTGGTAATGGACTTTATATAGTTGTATTGTTACCTTGGTAACCTAGCACTAAATATGAAAATATAAAAGAACATTAAAAAAATTTAATAAAAAAATGACACAAATATGTCCACTTGTGTATGTACAACAAATTAAGATAAACTGACAAACTGTAATTCTTTATTACAAGATTTTGCTATTAGATATAGTAACCATTTAAAGCTCAAATTATATTTATATATGTACTTGTTCTCAAGATGAGGCCAGTCCAATTATGCCTTTACGTTATCACTTTGCATATAAAATCACCACTTACACTTAGACCTACCCTAACAAGTGAAAATAAGGAAGGAAATAACCATGAAGACAAAAATAAATTATCCTGGTCACCCTCTGAAAATTTCCTTGAACCACCCTGCATATATATTTTTCTTTATCCCATACTTTATGCTTTTACACTCCGGAGGTCTCAGGGGAGACTCTGGCCTTGTGGATAAACTTCCATTCGGTCCAACTATCACAACTGATAGTTTTGTTTTATTCTTTGCACGTTTCCGCGAATAAAGAAACTTGCCTTAAGTGCTGTATGTCATCTTCTTACCTCAGGAGAGATGATGGTGAATCGGTTGTTGACTTGGCAAACCTCATGCTGTGTGACTGCCATCAGATGATACCAGGTATAATGTGAACACGCTCAGACAAAAAAAGAAGAAGAAGTAAGAGGACATGATCGTAGGATCACAGGAAGGTAAATACAACAAAAGGAGATGTCCATATAACTAAAGAGTTTCTCTCATATTACTGGTACATTTAGATATGTTTGTGGGTTCCTCAGCATCATTGTCTGACTTTGCCATTACGTTGCTGTTGAGCGCTTACCTCTGCCACGGCCAAACAATCTCACACATTTATCCTACAGCTTTATTAATTATTGTCTTTAATCCTTAATCAAGATCTGTTGTATGATTTTATTATCTGTTGTATGAAATGATGACATCTGCATTATACAAGCCATACAGGTCTACAGCTGTATGAATTGTCTCATTGCTATTACACAACTGGTATCATTATTATGTAATTTTCTTACTTGCATGTTGGATGATGTGATCATTCCTAAATGCTGTGGGTGTCATCTGCACTGTTACTTACTATTAATATTAAGTACAATATTGTGTGTAATGTGGATTCAGCATTTTCTTTCACTTGATCCAGATTATTATCTGGATCTGCACCAAATTCGACAAACTCATAGATGTCAACACCGTCGTACATTCTGTACATTACTTGCAGAGAAATCTACAAAAACATATTCTCACATTGTTAAGGAAAGTGATTTAAAAAATTCCTTTAACGTGGCCCATTGCTGATCCCTCCACCAGGTTTGGCGCAAATCGGCTCATTGCTTTCACGTAATCCTGCTGACAAATAAACAAACAAACAGACATGGGTGAAGACATAACCTCCTTGGCGGAGGTAAAAATGAATTACTATTTAAAACTTAAAGCCACCAAAACAGCAGAGCAGTATGCACATATTGAAACATTACAAAGCTTGCATAAAGCATTTCACCACAAAATACTGAGAAAATCAATCAGGTAAATAAATGGAGAGAAAAACAAAAACAACAAAAAACTAAAAATTTAAAGGGCTGTTCCAACCTTTTAGTTCGAGGGGCTTGAAAGAGAATATTCAAACCTGAAGCAGTGGAAGCCAAGATGTCCTGACTTTGAAACCCCAAAACCACTGGATTCCACATTTCCCATAAAGCAATGGGTTAGCGTTATTTGTTAAAACCTCCATGCCCACATCTTCTTGGGCATTTGCTCAACTCAACTCCATGCTCCATGTTCCTAACACAGATGTTCTGTTACTGTTTGTATTGTCCAAGCCCAAGACAAGAGCAGGGCTTTTTTTCTCCCTCAGACCCCTGAAAGCTCTTTCTGGAGTCATGGAATTATACAACTACACAACATGTTTTAGAAGCTGAGCAACACTCCCCATAACCTATAACTTCGTGTGTAAATTGATGAAGTGCCCCTTTAACTTAATTTAGTGGTTTGAGCACCACATTGGGAAACAGTTCTGTAGCGTAGAAGTGGCTCACACAGTTTATATTTTCTGATGCTATTACTGTCATGCTATTAGCTGCTGGGTTCTGCACATGAATTAAATGTTTCACAGGTTAACTGAATGACTAAGCATCTGTCTAAATCAGTTTTGAAAGTGTTTGCTCTATTATGAGGTTCAATCTAACACATAGTGAAAAGGTGTCCGGCTAATGGTAATGTGAACAATTTGTGTTTTGACTGGCTGAGGAGGCGTTTTGCTTTTAAGAGTAAAATATAACTGTGCAGCAACTGTTAAGAATTATCACCTAATTTTACAACACATATATGATGTACTTTGACAGCCTGTCACTCTCAGACATATGTTTCTTTTATTGAGATTGCCTCATTGCATTGCCCATCCCCACACTGTATTTGCACTGTTCCAGTGCAGGCTGACTTCATTATAGTCTCGGCTTCATTATAGTCTCATTAGAACGGTCCATGCTTGTTGGTTTGGAAACCTGGGAGCTGTTCCAGTGACATCAAAGTACTGGCCACTGTAGGGAAAAGCAGTTGATGTAAGATGGATAACCGTTGCGCAAAAATCAGGTGATAAAATCTTTTGTTGATTTGCACTTTCTCACTTACCTAAGTGCATTTTAATCTCCGATGGCAATACGACTAGCTACTGAGGTTTGGCACCAATATCAAAAATAATACTTTCGTCCACCTTTATTTGATGAATATATGCACATTTTTAAAAATATGATTAAAAGTCTACAAGCCTACTGCACGTGACGTCGACTCTTTTGGTGTAAGCACTCTTGTGACAGGTCTGTAGGTGCTTTGCGGTGTTGGGCTAACCCAGACCAGCTCTGACTGGACTGATGTCTGACCCACATATGTCAGAGGTGAGTCTTCTGGTGTGAAAAGGGTATAGGCCCGTAATCAGCAGGGCACCCCTTCTGCAGCAGTGGAGATAGGCTATTCAGTCAGTGTTGATCCCCTCCCAGTGCTTTGCCAGAATCCTTGCAGCTCTATGTGAAACGCGATCCGTCACATGGGGTCCGTTGCTGGGGGCTCTCATCCGCTTTCACAACTCATATGCCCACACACTGCCAGTGCCACATCATCGCTGCAAAGTGCATTTAATTGACATGCTTTTATTCAGCACAAGTGACTTATATCTCCTGGTCCTTTCCAACAAGAGGCTGAACACCCCCACTTCCCTCCATGTCTTCTTACTCTCTCTCTCTCTCTCTCTCTCTCTCTTACAAACACACACACACACACACACACACACTTTCTTTTCTTTTCTCTTCTCCCTCTCTGTCTTCCGTCAGCACTTTGGCAGTAATTCCTGCTTCAGTGAACCGGGCATACAGTGCATGACTTGATCTGACATGAAAGCTAAAGGCTAGCTATTATAGCCCTGTATTAGAGCCCATGAGTGGGGGAGAGAGAAAGCGAGAGAGGGAAAAAGAGAGAGAGAGAGGGAGGCAGGTCAGAAGTATGGCGTAATTCAGCAACAATAACAACATCCTCAGTAGCCTATCCTCAGATTCTGAGAGGAAGGAGGAGAGAAAGTGTGTGTGTGTGTGTGAGAGAGAGAGAGAGAGAGAGGGAGAGAGAGAGGAGGCTAGTCGCACCACTCAAGAGGAGTAGGCGTGCTCTTGTGCGCTGCATCGTTTGATGATCTCCCCGGTTCCCCCTGAACCTCCACTCTGTGCTCTCAGTGGGTGAGGTCGGTCCAGCAAAGCGACTAAGCGGACTTTACCCTGCCAGAGGAGTCGAGCTCGACTTTCCGCCGGGCAGCAGAGCCGTGTGCACCGCACCGGTCAGCGGGGCCACACCGCGGCACTTTGGATAACTCACACAGCTGAGGATCCTGCCGTTTGCCAAGGCGCATCATCGGCTCGTCCCGCACCAAGAACAGATGAACACATTGCCATGCATGATTTAGTCAGTCAGCATAGGTGACTTTTCATTTCCTCCATTTTCTCCTCTTTCTTTTCATTTTTGGATTCTCTGGAAGAAGGGGGGGGGGGACAAATCCACGGTGGCAGCATAAGCCCAAAAACTCGCAGTGTGTGCGTAGGGAGGGTATTGTTGCCCAAGATGCAGGTGGATCGGAGCTGTGTGGTTTCCAGTGCGTGGTGTGCGTGTCTGCTTTTACTTTTCTCAACTCTAAGCGCCAGGGTCACCGATGTGGGAGGCACCCACCAAAGCATTCCTCCGTCCGTGTAAGTAGACGCTCTTTTACGCAAAGGTGCCGCGCATCACTTGACTCTCCAAGTTACAAATCAGAACTTGATTTAAAAAAAAAAAAATAGTTGAATGGCTTCCAGTGCTCTTCAACTTTTGCTACATTTCAGTCATAAAATATAAAATTCCCTGGGATATGTGCCTTTGTTTTTAACTCAGCGTGTTCACTGCTTTTATATTGTAGCCTGTCTGTTTATATATTTATCTCTACCTCCGTCTGATTTCCTGCTGCTCCGTGTACATGTGTGCCGTTTGCAGGGTGAAGCTGTGGGCTTCAGCATTTGGTGGGGAGATGAAGTCCATCTCGGCAAAGTACTCTGGCTCCCAGCTGCTGCAGAAGGTGAGCTTCAGGTGTCAAACTCAAAGTACAGCCTGGAACTGCAATGCTCTTATATGCTTATTCAGATGGCTGAACTTCAGCACAAGTCTAATTCTTATGGGCAGTTTTACTCTCGAGGCAAAACGTAGTGGAGAAGAGGAGATTTTCTTTTGGAAAATGTTTTAAGTGCACACAGGGACACACACATAACTAGAGATCTTTTTTTTATTTTATTTTTTCACTGCTGAAATGATGTGATTCTCTGGGTAACTTTATTTAAAAGCTTAGAGATACCTTTTTAAGAGACTTTTAAAATTGCTGCCTGCATGTTAGAGACCAGCCTATGAGAGGAAATGACTAGTGTTGAGTAATTTTTTTTTCTTTTCACTCCTCATCTCTTAAACAGAAGGACCTGTGCTTTTTAGCCACATGTGAATCAGTAATGCATGTCGACTAGGTAGACGCAGATTTAAAAGCTTATTCAGAACATGTGCCTTTTAAATGAGTGTCCACTTCTCAAGCACTCCGGTGCGCACACAAATATATTCTCCGGAAAGCATAATTTTTTTTTTTTCCCTAAGCATCTGAATGTGTTCCTCACATTTCCAACCACCCCCCCTCCCCTTACCTCTTTTCGTACCTCTTTGCGGACTGTTCCCATTACTTGTCCACTTTGCTTTGTGGCATTAATGCAAGATTTGAGTGTGATGGAATGCAAATTTTTCTAATGGAGGGTCAGTTGATGAAGCATGAGTTAAAACTTGCTAATGGATAGCCGGTGGATAAAGGGCAAAGCTGAAGCTAACCTCTCAGTGGGCGAACACACACACACACACACACACACACACACACACACACACACACACACACACAATGTTGCTTGGGGCCAGCAGTTCAGGGCTCTGGTGGATGCAGACACCCACTATGGTGTGTGTGTGTGTGTGTGTGTGTGTGTGTGTGTGTGTGTGTGTGTGTGTGTGTGTGTGAGAGACTGACTGACTGCTGTAAGATGCCACACAGGCCAAACCAGATATGATGTGACGTACAACCACGACCTGTGTCTGTCACTTACAGATGTCCCCTATATGCAGGTGCACACATACAGAATCTACTTAACTCACTCACACACACACAAGCACACACAGTGGGTATGCACATGGCCACACACTGCATATTCACATGCACAGTCCCATAGACACATATGGCCCTATAGCATGGGATTTCATCAGCCGCTGATAAGGCAGACTAGTGGTGTTATCTCTTTGACAGGATAGAAACTGTACCCCCTTCTCATCTTTTTCTGCCTCCAAAAAGAAGATAACCCTCCCACGGAGTGACGACCTCTTTATGAAATGCAAATGAAGGCCGCAGGGTTAATTGAGCAAAGAAAAGACTGGAGACGTTTTTGTGGGAAAAGTGCATCTTTTCACACCAAACTGGTATGTTGCAAGTACAGTGTTATTCGCTGTGCCCATTTGCCGGATCATATCATCTGATGTGCAGGATGTATATATAAATGCACGCATGCATTCATTTGCAGGCTTTGGCAACATGTCACAGTGCCCTGTATGTTGGGCCTCATTGTGTGTCCGGTACAGTCTTGTAGCTCTTGTTTAGGACTGCTGAGGAGGGACCACAGTTCCCCTGAGGGCACATATGCTTTTAAATAGGCAGAAAGAATGTGGGATATACACTGTCATACATAGAGAGGAGGATGGTCCTGAAGAGAAAAGACCAGAGTGTGTCTGTGAGTAAGTGAGTGTGAGAGGGAGAAAGAGAGAGAGAGAGAGAGAGAGAGAGAGAGAGAGAGAGAGAGAGAGAGAGAGAGAGAGAGAGAGAGAGAGAGAGAGAGAGAGAGAGAGAGAGAGAGAGAGAGAGAGAGAGAGAGAGAGAGAGAGAGAGAGAGAGAGAGAGAGAGAGAGAGAGTGTGTGTGTGTGTGTGTGTGTGTGTTTGTTTCCCCTGGGCAGGGGACAGATGGACTCAGTCTCTCTTCAGTTATCTCTCTGACCCTAGCGTAACAAAACTCCCTTGGAAATAACCATATCTCTGCAAGACACACACACACACACACAGACACACACACACACACACACACACACACACACACACACACACGCACAGACAATTGCACTATGCGTGCAACTTAACCTGAATCATGCTTCATATACCAGCATATATTTCCATGCTTTATTTTAAAAATAGGTTTGTACCATCACACCAAGGCCGTACAAATTCTATAATGTTTAGAAAATATTCTTGAAAAAATACTTTAAAAGGAAAAAAGATGATGGACCAAATGGTGGAAAGTGAAATGAGTACAGTACACAAATCTAGTTAAGACACCACAGAAGTTGAAAACAATGCTCGTCAGGATTTTTGTTTTGTAACATTTCTGTATAGTTCTGCATGACTGGCAGCTATTGTGGCTCATGGTGTTACTTTGTGTTCCAAGTTAAAATGCTACAAATTGAATTTTATACTTCCTTTGTGTTGCCTCTGCGTTAATTTGATGCTTGATTTGACTTCCAATTTAATCATCTTTAATAAGAGACATTCTTAAAAAGTGCAAAAGTGTGGTTAATCGTAATTAATAATACAAAAGCATGCAATAAATTACTTAATTCTTTTTAATTGAGTGACAGCCCTAATCCAAATACATTACCAGCTTAATTTAATATTTTCATAGATAATTCATATAGATGCTTTCAGCAATTTCAGTAAAACAGGAAATAGTCAATAAAAAGATTGCATGACAGCTAAGTTGGAAAACGGCGTCATTCCCAGAAGGACCCAGAGTACAGGATTTATGTAAATATAAATATTTGAAAATAATTACTTTTCTTCAAATAACCTGATTTGGTTGAGGCTGTTTTCAGAGACAAATTTAACATCTTACATCTTTTTTTTTTTTTTTTAATTTATTTTTTTTAATCCAGTTAGAGCAGATTTAGCCTCTCATCCAAACCCCCCTCTCCTCTTTCCTCTGCTGTCCTGATCTGTCCTCCCTTCCCACGCCACAGCCCGCTTCCTGTATCCATCGGAAACAGCTCTTGTTTCAAGGTTATACCAGTCAGTGTGTGTGTGTGTGTGTGTGTGTGTGTGTGTGTGTGTGTGTTCTTGCACAAGAGAGAGGAAAAAAAAAGAACATGATCAATGACACCTTCAGTTTGTTACACAAATCAGATGCTAGCAGTTAACTCATCAATGTATGTACAAATGCAATATATATATATATATATATATATATATATATATATATATACACTGTACATGTGCACACGCAAACACCCACAGGACAGGAGACTTCTGTTTGAGACACATTAAATATCTCCCACTGACAGTTAGAATTAGCTCTGTGTGTTTTACCCTCTTCACTGCTATTCTGTTGAAATCTTTAATTTCATGTATCATTGAGCAACCTGTCTATATGAGCCAGCCTGGTTGTGATGGCTGTGTCTGTGTGTGTGTTGTTGGCCGGACTAGTTTTCACCTCACTGATGTTATGGCTTTCTGGAATCAAAGTAGTGGAGCATTATGCCACGCTGAAATAACTTCAAGCCTCTCGGTAATGGAAGATACAAGACAAATGATCATTCTGCGCGATCGCCACCACGGCTCTCTGAAAGTTATCTGTGCACGTCTGCTTTCCTATTTTACAAAAGCATAAGCCAATATCTGAGGGCAAGGAGTAGGCAGCAGGTGGATCTGTCTGCTGCATCTATGTGTGTGTGTGTGTGTGTGTGTGTGTGTGTGTGTGTGTGTGTGTGTGTGTGGTAAGTTTGCATACCTACTTAAAGCATGCTCAATCACACACAAATACACACCGTCTCTCCCACACTCAGAGACGCATATTCCAAACAAAAGAGTAGAGGATGATAGGAAAGTGTAATGATGTGTGACAAGAGTATGCTGGAATCGATTTGCCTGGCAAGTGTGACGAGTGTGTGCGTCTGGGTGTGTACGCGCGTATGGTTTCAGAGCGGTGCCATAACATACCATTTTCCTTTACTGCCAAAGAGCTTAGAGTGGCAAGCCGCTGACAGTATTCCTAAAGAATGAGCAAAAGAGGACAGAGTGGAGTGGTTTCTGCAAAAAAAAAAAAAAAGAAACGCTGGATGAAAAATATATATTAGTATTGAAGTCGTCCAGTGAAGTGTAGAGACAAACGGCTTACAGAAAGACACGCAACGTGCACATGCCGGGTTTATGGAGTACAGAGAGAAAGGGTTAGGGAGAAGAACATGTGCTTCAATTTGTATCCACTGATGTGGCCGACCATCAGCTTTTGCTATAAAATATTTGTTATCCCTAATTGATTTTAAAGAAATGTGTGTCATCATCACCTGAAACATAGTTATATATTACTGTACCTTAACAAGGTCAGAAAAAAATGAAATATATACATATTTTTCTGACTATATGTTCATGTTGCAGTTGCCAGCACAGCCCAGTATTACACCGTGCTTGTATTTTCCTTCCTTTTTTCCTCTTTTTGGCTACCTTATTGAACTCTACATGCATGCATTGTAGACCTACAGTATATAATATTATCACTGACAGATAAAAAAATATGTAAACGATAACCTACAGGTCATATTTTCAGTGATTAAGAAAAGACTGCTTATTTTTTAGTTCAAATTCAAGTGTTGTGTAGGATCTTTCATACAAGTGCCAAAATCAGCTTATTCCTTTTCCCTGATACCAGTTTATTTGACATTATCTAATGAGCTTTCAAATAATCTTATAAACACATGAGATCAGTGATGAGTTAAGAGCTTTACACGCAAAATCGTTTTGATCCATTGAAGACCTTTCTGCGAGACTTGTTTCACAAAATCATAATTCAATATTTCTGCAGAAGGCAGTTTCATGTTTGTCTGTTGGAAGAAAAAAAAAAGATCTATTTTTGTTCTGAATATGTATTTTAGTCACACTAACCAGATTTAAGAGCTTGACTAATTGTCTAATTTTGAAGTGGAAATGATTATGCATTTCAGTTTTTCACGATCATTTAAAATTA